CAAGTTTTGTGCAAAAACGCATGATCGCTCCGGCTCGCCTGGTGCGTTCCAGCCTACGTTTCAGTTCCTCTTGGTGGAATCAACTTCCACATTGCTGGTGACCTCATGCTCTCCGGATGTGAAAAAGATGATTACCTTTTTCTGCACAAATGCAGCTCACTAAATGTTTTTTGACTCAAAAATCATGAAGTTTTCACGTAGAGTTAAAATACCTTAATCGATTTTTTGAAAACACGCTCCTTTAAAAGAACAATTATTTTTTAGGCAGAGTTCATATGGGCAATACCGAACCGCGATGATCTGCGGCGCAATGAGAGTGTTCTCAAAGCTCAAGCATTTATCTGCTTTCATAGACAAAACTACAAAGAACTCTACCGTATTCTTGAAACCAACCAGTTCTCACCAGAGAATCACTCCGAATTGCAAGATTTATGGCTTAAAGCGCATTACAGCGAGGCAAATATTTATGTCATTTTTGACTCCTAAACATGTTTTGAGCCTTATTGGCTCAAGTGGTTTGCAACGTTTGTTCTTAAATTCAAAAAAATTCCATTTTACAGGCTGAGAAAATACGTGGTAGAGAGCTAGGCGCCGTTGGTAAATATCGAATAAGGCGGAAATTTCCACTGCCACGAACAATATGGGATGGTGAAGAAACAAGTTATTGTTTTAGAGTAAGTACATTTCTCACCTGTGATCTCCTCCAAAGAATTTGAAAGGTATGAAAATCATTAATAACCTGCGTCAGCACATTCGGTGAAAGGGGCTTAGAGAGTCATAAGGCTGGGCGCGAGAACGGCGATGATTTTGGTAAAAGAGCATTTATGCGGAAAATTAGAACCGTTGTGTAATTTTGTTGTCTAAATTCAGTTTCTGGCAATATTTCTGCATTTCGTTCTTTACTGAGTTAAGCCCCCATCAGATCAACTAATTAGGATTTATCAGTCTCGACTGTTTGCTAAAGCCGTTGCGGATAATTTCATACTGTACCAGCTCCTCAAGAAACAAGATGGAAGCAGTTCAGCATATTAGTCACGCTAGTACCAGTTTCTCACCGAAACAGCAAGCTCCACAAAAACTGTTGTTTTCCGAGACACTAAGTGGACTAGCAGCACTCCTGCACAACGTGTTTTGTAGACCGTTTTTAGACCATGCTGTCCTTAGTTTGTATCGTCAAGATCATTCAGAAGGCTACTGATGCAAAATCCGCGATGTTCTTAAGATTCAACTAAAACCCAGGAGCCTCTGCTCTATACTGCACGTTCCCATTCCGGGTCCGTTATTATTTTCATCACATACAAGAGTCACTTCTACAGAAGTCACGCGAGACTGTCGTTTCCTTTCTTGTACATAACAACATTAATATGCGAAAATTACCAGTTCTCAGCTGAGAAGGAACAGCTGCTAAATGTAAGTTTCCCACATGGCTCCATTCGCCATCGAAAACACAACAGTTTTACGTACATCATTCATCAGAAGAGCGTTTGATTGTTTATTTAGTTACAAGAAGATGCTTCAATTTGATTGTTTATTTAGTTACAGGAAGATGCTTCAATTGTTATTCCGTCATCCATCACGTTGTTATCAGCGTTTGTTTTGGTAGTTTTCTCGATAGTCACTTCTCGGATCCCTGTTACAACTTTTTTTATAAACAAAAAGTTTTCAGGAGAAGTCGAGGTATACATTGAAAAGTTGGTACGCAAAAAACCCTTACCCGTCACCAAAAGAAAAGAAAGAATTGGCTGAGGAGACACATCTTACGGTTACACAGGTATCAAATTGGTTCAAAAACAGGAGACAGCGAGATCGAGCTGCGGAAAACAAGGAAAGGTTAGAATTACATCACAGTTCAGTATTCGATAAATCAAACAAACATTTTCCTGTACGGCCTGATTCAAAGTACAGAAGCAGTCCAGAGTTTGCCTTTTGTCTCTTGAAAATAAGTAAATAAGGAGAAGCCTTAGGCTAGTTTGGCTTGCACGATCTTTCAATCTACACATGATCAGTTTTGAAAAAGCAGAGTGTTATTTGCATCATTTATTTTTTGAATGTTGCCCGCCTTGCCAGCAACTGGTGGACAAGCAA